TAACACCACTATCACTCCCTCATCATCCTTAAAATCATCACCAGACATTCGCTCTTTCCACTTTTCCCAATGCTACTGCACCCACACCTGGTCCCTCCTCACTTTCTATTTTTTTTCTTTCTCTATCAAACATTGTCTTCCTTCCATGCGTTGAAAACCCCATGTATTCTCATTCCTCTGATCTCACCAAAGAACACTCAGCAAGTGCTCCCTCTCAGGTGTCAGAGGTCTCTCAGGATGATCCTGATCAGTATCTGAACTCCTCTATTTTGGCCGCAGTGGCTCTCACAGAGTCACCAGAAAAGGAAGCAACACACAATATCATGGCTATTGCTGCTGAGAGCCCGTTGAATGAAGGAGCCTATCATTTGTCTGAGTATCATGGGGAAGAAACTCCATTTCTAGGCGATGAAAGAACCATGGTACTCTTCGAGTCTCTTGTCTATGAAACATTCATAGAAAAACCTGTTGGATAACCTGATTCTCTTTCAGATAAATCAACTCAAGAACCTCTTGTTTATCCTAAACCCTTAGAATTCTCTTCCAAGTCACCCACTTCCAGGTTGCAACAGAAAGAGGCTTCCGAGTCTACCTTGTAGAAAGGTAAGAGGAGTGTCAAAACAAAAAGAAAGAGGTCGATGAAACAAGGGGAGTTTGTGACTAACAAACGTATTCTAGTGGCTGAGGTTAACAAGGATGCTCTAGAGGAACATGGTTCCCTAGTAAAACGATCTCTAAAAATCCAGAAGTCTATGGATGAAGCTTCCGATAACGTTATTAAAAAACAAAGTGAGACATCTGTGAAGGGTAGTAGTAAGTCTAAGAAGAGTGTAGCTGAGCAAGCTATGTCTGAAGGAGATACTATGGGGTTTGTAAGTTGGAAAGGGAAATCGGTCGAACACTCTAAAAAACAAAAACGGGAAACTGTAGGGGAACCTGGTTCTATGAAGACCATACCTAGTGACAATGGTCTTTGGCAGGAGAGATTGAGAACTCAGAAAGTCTTGTGGGGTCGTATGTTTGTTCCGACAATCTCAGAGGTGGCAGGTATAAGGCAATTTTTGGAGATAGTGGAATTTCAGCAATTGGAGCACTTGTTTTAGTAGAACATTCCTATAGTGTACCAAGATGCGGTACAAAATTTCTACGCATCTCTCTTCACTGTTGAGGGGGATCACATCTGTGTGTTAGTAAATGGAGTAGACATTGTACTTGATGCTTCAGCATTAGGGAAGGTTCTCCAAATTCCATGTGAAGAAATGTCCTCAGTCAAAGGTGTTTGTGGTGTAATTTTAGGAGAGCTATCATGAAAGAGCAAGCTATTCAGTAGGGGTAACAAGTACATAAGAAATTACTACTTCCTGAGTATCAGCTTCTTTTTGAGCTGGTTAATAAGGTGCTTTTACCTCGCTCTGAGAGGCGGTATATTGCTACAAAGTCTGATATGGTTCTAATGGAAGCTCTTGATGAGTTTGTCCCGATCAACCTGCCAGCAATCATGATAGATCATATGCAAAAGGTGGAAAATTTTAAAGGTGGGAATCATGGGTTTCCATATGGATTTCTCCTCACTCAAGTGTTTAAGTTTTACAAGGTTCCCTTGGGTAATCCCAGAGTGGGCACACGCAAGCAAACCTTCTCTAAAACTACTCTGGAAGAATGTGAGTGTGTATAAAAAGTTGGTGGAAACATTTCGACTATTTCTCAGCGATCAATGCTCAAAATACTGCTTTTGAAGTGATTAGACGATTAAGGGCTCAGAACGCCATACTGGAAATTCAGATCAGTCAAGCTGTTAAAGGACCTTGTCTCATTAATTCCACAGATGAAGAAGTTGACCGCTTGACAAAAGAAAATGATAAGCTTCGCGCAGAACTGCTTGAGGAGCAACTGTCTGGAAATGCCCGACTGGACCTGGTTCTCGAGACACTTGATGCTCTCCTCCCCTAGTCTTCCTCTTCTACTGCCCCTTAGGTTCCTCCTAGTGACCAGTTATCTTATGTTATGATGTTTTTTGGCTACTGTTTCTATTTTTGTTTATCCTTTTGTTGATGGCACGCTGGATTTCATTATTACTACTCCTGTTTTGCTCAGTCGATTGTCCATATCAATGAAACAGCTCTTGTTTTTGCTTGTACATTATTGTTTTCCTTTGGCTTCTCTTTTATGTCATATTGTGTACACATATGTGGCATGGGTTGGCTGTGCTGGACTTCTTTATGCTGCTTGCCTGCTTGTGTATTTTTAATGATGCCAAAAGGGGGAAGATTATATAGTGTGGAAGACCTAATTAAGGGGGAATCAAAGGCAGAAAGTCAGGGGGAACTTGGTGACCAATTGATTGAAACAGGGGAGCTGATTGAGGAGAAACTTTGGGTAGTTCCTGGTACCTCATCTGGTTATTTATGCTCTAAATAGATACTATCATTGCCTAGTTTGTCATCATCAAAAATGGGGGAAATTGATGGGTTCTCAATGTCTTCACCCATGTTTCTTGTGTTTTGATGATCTAACAAACTTACAGTTAAGAACTAGATAGGGAAATTGACTCACTTGGTACACATTTCAAATGAACGAAGTTCAGTCTGAACCCAGCGGATGAACTACCACAAAGAGGAATATGACAGGGACTTGATCCCTTGGTGCTCTCTGACAGAAGTACAAGTCAACAGCTGGAATGCAATTGCAGAGAGTGACTGCCTGCTACTGTTCACGCGACAGTGCAGCAGTCATTTCCCATTGAAGAGGCTTGTACTAAGAGTTGACATCATCCTTGTGATGTCTTTGGCAGCATAACAACATGATGCAAGGCACAAGATATTCACTTGAGCATTTAGTGATATTCTCTTAAGCATTAAAAGAGTTAATCCAACATTGAAGTCACAAGTGTGTCAAGAACAAGAAGACAACTCCACTAAAGGATCAGTTTCACAATGAGTCTATGTGTATCCGTAGTTGAGTTGTAATCTTGTTATTTGCTCTTCATTGTAGCTCATATCTTGCTTTCTTAGAAGTTGTGTTTTAGGAAACACAAAAATCACAAACCTTCTAAGTTTGTGTTGTGACTAGAGTTAGTCATAAGTTAAAGTCTTTGTAGCTAGTTAGTGACAAAGTGGCTTGTGGTAAGTATACTACAAGTTAGTTGAGTTAAAGTCTTTGTAATAGAGTTATTACAAAGTGGCTTGTAATAGTGTGATTACAAGTTAGTGAAGTTGAAAGCCTACAAGTGTAGGTCGTGGTTTTTGTCCCCTTGAGTGGGATTTTACCACGTAAAAATCAAGTGTCTCTTTTACTTACTACTTCATAGTATTCTTAGTGGAAAGTCACAGAGGACCAGGTGCTCTATAATTTGGTGGACTCATATAAACCAACAATTTTGCTCTCATGGATGGAGAATACTGTCACACCTCCTTTTTCCTACACCCCCGTAAAGGGTATAAATGAGTTTTTTTCAATTAAAGGACAATCAAAACGGGATTGTTTATTAAGAGATTCAGAGTCGCCACTTGGGAGATATATGGTGTCCCAAGTCACCGGTTCAAATCCCGAATCGAGGAAAGGACTGACTCTGTATTACAGTCCGCGAACCAAAAATCTAGGTAAGGAATTCTGTTAACCCGGGAGAAGGTGTTAGGCATTCTCGGGTTCAGTGGTTCTAGCACGGTCGCTCAACCGTTATTATGGGCTTAATTATCTGATTTTAAAACACTTTTAAACCTATGTGCATTTTTAACTTTATAGCCGCTTTTATTCAATTATATCTTTTTAGGAAGATTTCAACGCTATTTAAAACATGTCTTGAACCGCGTCACATAAATGCATCCGCGATCCTCGACATATTTCATCTAACATTGTTGAGATTTGAATTTGGGTCACATAAATGCGCACCCGAGTTTAGGAAGGTAAATTAGTAAAATAACGCGCCTAAAGCAACTACGCATTAGCAAGTTTGCGAGGGCCATGAAAATTCGCTAAATGGCACGCCTCGATTTCTAAGGATAAACAAGATTAATTAAACGAGAGACATGCAATTGTCATTTTTGTTTGGCACGACGCACCTCGAATTATTCTAACCAAGTTTCTAGATTAATTATGAGGGCCATAGCTATTTGTGTTGTTAAATATGGCGCACCTCAGTCAATCTATTCTAAAAAAAACAATTAAATAACTAAAGAAGATTTTGCCAGACTTCTACTTACTTAAACAAAATTGCAATCCTATTATTTCACTAGAACACCTTATAACGGAGAACTAAGAGCTCAAAAAGAAACTACTTCGCGCATCACTGAAACAGATCCTTTTTCTGAAAATCGTCCAGCCTTGGGCTTAAGCTAAACCCAGTCCTTGATGAAGGGAGGCACCCAGGCGCTTGTATTTGACATACCCCTGACTGGACCTGCGAAGCCCAATTTCCAAGCCCTGAATTATTGAGCTAAACCCAAACGCCAATCAACACAACATCAACATGGAAAATGAAGTCGAGTGAGCAATTTAATCTATGGCTTAAAACAATTGACGCAACTTAGTTAAACTAAAATTCTGGTTTTTATTTTTAGCAAGCATTTGAATCAAGCTTGTCATATGAAATGTCCATCAATAACAAATTCAGATACTGGGCTTGGCAGACGAGCCCAATGTGCTATCTTCTCTTTTAAATGGCCCAGAAGGCTAAGGCTTCATGTAACAAAGATTTGCAAAGCCTAAATTGGAACTTAAGACCCCATATCGAGTCCCATCCAGCACAAAACTCAACAGGCTATTGACTCACTAAACATTTTTTAACAGGGAGTGAACTGATAACAAACAACAGAGATTCATTCATGCATTTTAATTCCTAAACTAGCCTTCACAGGAAAACATGGGGTATTCAAGTTCATAGACTATTTAAGTAGCAATGCCAACTAAGTATAATGATGCAAAGTTGTCCAAATTGCAGAATAAAATTCTGGACAGCACTTCATCAGTATAGTTCCTAATCTCAAACCATAAGAACACTAAACTGATATGCTCAAGAGATCTTTCCTTGCAGCATGTCTAACAGTCCATTCATACATTAGTTTTCATTTATTATTACAATGCCAATGTTCTGAATCCAAAACTTATTCTAAATAAACAATCAGCCTTAAACCACTAAACATGAATAAACGGATCAACATACTCGAGAAGACTATAATGTTGCAAAACTAAGGAACTTAAAGACACAAGATAGCAGAATCCAACAACACATACATCAATAACAAGTGTTTTATTCAAATCTCAACTAAGATTCTCAGATTTTTACATGGATTCAATCTGGTTCTAACTTGTAGTACATCACTTGATAACATTGGTCTGAAGGAAAATACCTAGGAATGAAAAGGCAAAGGGAAAAAGTGAGGAATCAGCAGTATCAAGTGCAGAAATCAGCACCAGCAAACAGAACAGCCCATATTCAACCAAAATCAGTAATGAATTCAATCCAGAAGAAAGAAGCCAATCCAACAACTTAAACCAGATCTTTCACTACCCAAGCTTAAACCATTTTTAACCTCAAATAGAATCAGATGTTATTCAGAAATGAAAAACTTCAATGCTTAAAGCAAAAATTTCAATGGAACAGTGTTTCCTCCAATTTTTCAAGCCGTTTCTGACTTTCAGAATTTTCTATCGCTTAAAACTCTATGTTCTTTTTTTTTTCAAGCTCCCATTTTCTTAACTCTTTCTTGTTCTTGCTATATATGATCTCTTGTGTGTATATCCCCCTTTAAACCTCTGATCCTCGGCCTTTAAATAGGCACTGATCTTAGTGCCTTCCCCATTACCAATTACCTTTTCCATTTTTAATTATCCACTCAACTTAGTGTTCTCTAAATTAATCAGTTAGTGCCGTCCTACAACCCTACCATTTATTAGCAGCCTTCTAATTTAATTATTGACAAATTCCCCTAAGGCTAGACTACCCAAATTATCCCTTAATGACCCTTTTATTACCCCTGAAGTTATCCCTGAACCAAAACGGATCATGGGTCAATTTTGACCCAACTGTCCAGGCCAAAATGAATCGGAATGGACCCAAAGCCCAATTCACAAGATCAGAATTCTACTCGGCCTAAACTAGCAATTATGCAGTTAGCAAGTTGTAAACACCAAATATCATGGGACAATTAAAACTTTAACCTAAATGATTTACGTAGCTAAAATTAACCAAACTAACAATTTTAACTAATATGATTGTAGACTAACTACACTAATTAAGAAAAAGACTCAAAACGTGAACACATAAATTCTGGAACAAACGAAAATGATTCAAGAAGAGGAGAAGAAGCAGAAAATAGAAAAATAAAGGAAGAAAAGATTAAACAGAAGGAAGAAAAGAAAATACCTTTAAAAAGAAAATCGGAAAATGAAAGGGGGAATCCTGGGTCTTTAAATCCTCTGATTTTCGGTCAAATCTGATGTTAATCGTGTGTTCTTACAAAAGGACACACGAATAACATCGGATTAGACACGAAGTTTTACCAAAAACTTGACCTGGGATTTTTAGGGTTCGTCTCTGATCTAAGATTCGAGGATTTCCAGGGTGATTCGAGGGAAGATATTTGTGGATTTAGTATGAGGGGTTTCAGGGTGTTAATTTGGGAGGGGTTCGAGGCGGCGGCGGCGCCACAGGGAGGCGGCGGCGGCGCCACCGGAAGGCGACGAGAAACGGTGGCGGCTACTAGGGTTTACCCGTCTCTGAAGAGACGAGGTGAGAGAGACGAGTGAGAGGAGGGGGTTCTGAGGGGGGTTGTGGTGCGTTAGGGGGTTATATACGGGAGGGGAAATCGAATCCAGGCCTTTGATCAAACGAGATCAACGGCTTGGATCAATCACTTAATAGAGACAACATCGTTTCTTTGGGTACAAGACTGGGTCGGTCTCAGATGAAACAGGTCGGATTCAGGTTAGGCGGGTAAGGGGCGGAATCTTAGCCGTTGGATGAAGTCAGATCAATGACTCAGATGAATGGATGACAAACGACGTCGTTTGGATTGTAAGGGGGCGGACCGATTATTGGGGCGGGTTTGGGGCGGTTCTGGTTGGGTTTTGGGGGTAGAATGACTTGGTCCTGGTATTTTAATTAAATGTGGCCCAACTGGATTTCTTATTCTTTGCCTTTCATTTTTTCAATTTTCTTTCTTTTTCTTAAATTAAAAATAAACCTGAAACTAACTTTTAAAAATTATCCTACTAAATTATATTAAAAACTCAAAATATCATTTAGTCTAACTAATTAAATACCAATTAAAGGAGAAACTACTAAAATTCAAGACTAAGATTAAAAGGCAAAATAAAATATTTTTGTGATTTTTTCCATTTTTATAAAACACCTAATTATGAATCAATTCCAGAATGCCAAATTAAGACCTAAATGCAAATGCAACATATTTTTGTATTTTTTTTTTGTATTTTTTTTTTGTTAAATAAACATGCACAGATAATATTCAAACAATAACAGAAAATGTCACAAAAATCCACGAAATTGCAAATAATGAAAAAATTATTTTATTTTGAATTTGTGGGAGTAATTCATATAGGGCAAAAATCACGTGCTCACAAATACTATCATACTTACTAATAAGACTGCATATAAACCATCATACTAATTTAGGTAATTTGTCAAAAGTATTATTGCATTAAGTATGTACCTTGCAAAATAAATTAATATATCTATAGAAAAATAAAGTAATTAGCAATTAAACAAAAATTCATCTGCATAGATAAATTGATGGTGGACTGAGCACATCCGGCTTTGAGAGACTTTTTTCAACGGAGCACTTTCATAGTATGTAACCTACGCGGCGCGATCCGGATATAGTCGGGCTCCAATGCGGGTACCGGACACTGGGTGGGAAACCAAAAAAAATAAAAAATTATGTAAAGCTTTAACCTGCAGTGCATATATTTTTCAAGTCTATCCACATTATTGTCAAATATCTTTAATTGACTTTCCTACAAGATAATATTCTTATGATTTTCAATCTGCAAATAATTAAGTTAATAATCAATCTTTCTTCCCAAGAGATGAAATTAAAATAAGTAAGTCCTGAGTGAATCCATATGATAACCAAACACGCCAAAAAAGTACATAACAATATCGAGAAATATGAATGTAACGACTCGACCAGTCGTTTAGAGTATTGTAACCCGGTTCCCCCTATTTACTTCTCATTTTTGTGCTTTACAGTTGTTATATGACTTACCGGGTTAGTTGGTTCGAGTTTGAAGAGATTTAAGAATGAATTGAGACACTTAGTCTCATAATTGAAAGCTTAAGTTGGAAAAGTTGGCCGGAAGTTGACTTATGTGTAAACGGCTCCAGAATAGAGTTTTGATGGTTTAGTTAGCTTCGTTGGGTGATTTTGGACTTAAGAGCGTGTCCGGATTGTGATTTGGAGGTCTGTAGTTGAATTAGGCTTGAAATGGCGAAAGTTGAATTTTTGGGAAGTTTAATTGGGAATGGACTTTTTGATAATGGGGTCCGATTTCGATTCTGAAAGTTGGAATAGGTCTTTGGTGTCATTTGGGCCTTGTGTGAAAAATTTGGGGTCAATCGGGCTTGATTTGATAGATTTCGGCATCGTTTGTAGAAATTTGGAATTTCAAAGTTCATTAGGCTTGAATCTATGTGCGATTCATGTTTTTGATGTTGTTCAAGGTGATTTGAGGGTTCGACTAAATTCGTATGATATTTTGGGACTTGATGGTATGTTTGGTTGAGGTCCCGGGGGCCTCGGGTGAGTTTCGGGCGGTTGCCGGATCATTTTTAGACTTGGCATGTTGGCTGAAGATTTGCTGGTTTTTGTTGGTTCTAGTTTCCTCTTATGCGTTTGCGAGAATGGTCTCGTATTCGCGAAGTGCATTTGGAGGATGAGGAAGATTTGTTCTTCGCATTCGTGAAGAAGAGGATGCGTTCGCGAAGGTTTGGGCGAAGAGTACACCGCGAACGCGAGATGGGATACGCGTTCGCGAAGAAGAGAAGAGGCAGTTGGTCTCGCGTTCGCAAAGAAGAGAAGAGGCGACTGGAGACCCCGCTATTGGTCTACGCGTTCGCAAGGGTGAGGTCGCGTTCGCGATGAGGGGGGTCAGTGAAGCTTCGCATTCGCGATTTGTTGAACGCGTTCGCGTAGAAGAATTTTAGTCAGTGGCAATATTGTGCTTCACGAACGCGAGGATGTTTCCGCGTTCGCGAAGAACCACCTGGGCAAAATAAAAGATTCAAAAACGAGGGTTTTAAGTTCATAACACAAAAATTGATTTGGGAGCTCGGTAGAAGGCGAGGAATGTTTACATGGGTGTTTTGGGTAAGTGATTTTTATCTGGTTTAGTTAATTCTCGTGATTATGCCTTTAATTCTACCATTTAATTTGTGATTTGAGGTGGGAAATTAATGAAAATGAAGAAGAGTTTTTAGGCTAGACTTTTGAGGTTTTGATGGGATTTTGATATCGGATTTGAGTAAATTTGGTATGGTCAGACTCGTGGTTGAATAGGATTTCGGATTTTATGACTTTTTTCAGATTTCGAGACGTAGGCTCGGGGGCCGGCTCGGAGCCGATTTCAGATTTTTGAGTTATTACTTCGCAATTTCTTGTAGAATTAATTAGTCTAGCTCGTATTGATTGTATTGTACTAATTGTGGCTAGATTCGGGTCATTTGGAGGCCGATTTGCGAGGCAAAGGCGTGTTGGAGTAGAGTTTTGCTTGGATTGAAGTAAGTAACACTTCTAAACTTAGTTCTAAGGGTTCAAAACCCCGAATTATGTATTATGTGATTGGTGTTGAGGTGACGCATATGCCAAGTGACGGGCGTGCGGGCGTGCACCGTGAGAATTGTGACGTGGTCGATTCCCTGGCATTGTATAGTGATTCTATCTTATTGATATTCGTGTTTTCATCATGTGATAAAGTAATTGAACTGTAAATCATGCTAGAGATCTTGTTTAGGCTATATACTGGTACTGTTAGAACCTATAGTGGTCGTTTCTTGCTGCTGGCTTACTGATTTTATTGATATTTCGTACTTAGTCATATCCATTCATATCATATCATATTTCAGTCTCTGCTGTTATTTATTGATACATCATATCATCATGTTCGGGCTAGTTTCATGATATTGTGAGCCCGTGAGGAAGACTGGAGAGATTGTTGACTGAGTGAGGCAGAGGGCCTGGTTATGGGCGACATTTATGGGATCGGGCTGTACGCCGCAACGGTTATACTGATTTATGATAGCGATTGGGATGAAGGAGCCCCTTTGGAGTCTGCACACACACCCAGTGAGCGCGGTTGATTATATTGAGGGATGGATCTTCCCGACGGGCTGAATTGGCCCTACTCAGTACTGAGTGACTGATGGTCAGTTGATGTATATATTCCGGGATGGATCTTCCCTGGGCCGGATTGGTCATATACAGTACTGAGTGATTGAGCATTTGAGAGTGTGAGCACATGAGGCTTCCAGTATGGTGAATGACATACAACACGTGCATTGGCATGTAGAAGTAGAGGAGTATATACTTCACATCATTCATATTTGATCTAGTTTACTGTTTTGAGTTTCTTGTTTCTACACTGTTATTTCTATATTGAATTGTGCTGGTTGATTTCGTCACTACTTTCAGTCCAAAGGTTGGATTTGTTACTTATTGAGTTGTTTGTACTCACGCTACATCCTGCACCTCGTGTGCAAATCCAGGTGCTTTCGGTTACGGCGGCTGCTGAGTTGTGGAGTCGAGTTATTTGTAGGCTATCGAGGTAGTTACATGGCGTTCGCAGACCTTGAATCTCCTTGATTATCTTTACTTATATTTCAGTTTTACCCTTTAGACATTGTATTAGACTATCTTCCGTTGTAGATGCTCATGTACTCGGTGACACCCCCATTTTGTGAGAGATTTGTATTGAGTTGCGAACATATATATATATATATATATATATATATATATATTAAAAGGTTTTCCTTAAATATTAACCGCTTCCGTATATTTTTCAAAGCTTTTATTCAGTTGAATTGGTTGAGTAGTTGGCTTGCCTAGTTCCACGATAGGCGCCATCGAACGGTTGGTTTTTGACCGTGACAATGAAGATAGAATTTTTAGAGGTGACTATTGAAAAAAAATTAAAGAAAATATAAACGTTGTTAAGGCGCGTATAAGGCAAGTGATCATATTATATTTAAAACGTGAGGGAGCAGATTATACATACTTGCTTTCGAATGATAATCAACTTTTATATTCTTCAGATAGTGTTATATGTGATGATGTTTTAGAGGGTAATGTTTTATCCCACTTTCCAACATTTAGTATTTAGAATTTCTTTTGATGCTATCATTTAAAAAGCATTGAAATTGTAAAAGTAACGTCCGAAATAAAAACACTTATAAAAATATAAAGAGCTAACTCTGAAAAAGTAAAGACATTAATTACATAAATATATTATAATAAATTTCTTTAAGATTTAAATTTTTGTATGTTAACATTGGATGGGCTATCCAATCCATTAAAGGATATAAAAGTCTATTAGAATTATAGGGTTATTTTAGTCTTTTATCTTTTAATTTTTGTCTTCGCACTTATAATATATTATTATTATTATGATGATGATGATGATATTATGATGATATTTCTCTAAGATTTTATAAAACTTTTAAAACATCTATCAAAACTTAAAAAGAGAAGAAAAATGTAGTTTTGAGTTTAAAGACAATCTACTAACATTTACCAAAATTAAAAAATTTTAATTGCTTTTTTACAATGAATAAATCTCGAGCATCAGAGGCGCAAGATTTTGTAGTAAGCTAGATTCTTTTTCAAAGAGTTTGAACTCGTAATATACACAAAAAAAAAAAAAAACTAGAAAAAAGGTAAATCAGCTTTTCTCTATCTTTTTTGTTTCCTTACGAACTCATTTTCCTCCAATTGGAGGAAAATATTTTTCAAAATTCTTTATCAACCTTTCCTACCTTCACTG